GGGGGGGGGGGGGGGGGGTGTGAGTGTTTGTGTGTGTGTGTCCTTGTTGCTTCATCAGAGTGAGAACCATACCTATTTTTCAACCAACAAAGTGAGGTCTTTTTTGGAAAGTGAGGACATTTTCCTGGTCCTCACTTTATTGTGTGTTTATGTGTGTGTTTGTGTGTGTGTGTGTGTGTGTGTGTGTGTGTGTGTGTGTGTTCGTGTGTGTGTATCTTTGTTGCCGCATCAGAGTGAGAACCATAACTAGTTTTTAACCAACAAAGTGAGGTCTTTTTTGAAAGTGAGGACATTTTTATGGTCCTCACTTTATTGTGTGCGTGCATGCGTGCGTGCGTGCTTGTGTGTGTGAGTGTGTGTTTCTGTGTGTGTGTGGGTGTGGTGGTGAGAGGCTACCTCTCTCCGGAGTCCTATCCAGGCGTCGGCCCTCCCCTGCAGGACGGCCCCGGCTACGAAGGCCTGGTCGTAGCTCATATCGATGCTGGCCAGGTCCCCCCCCTGGTCCCTGCAGGCCGCCCGGGCCTTTTCCCAGGACGCTGCCTCCTCCACCAGCCGGTAGCAGCTGGAGTACCAGGAGGTGTAGCCGGAGGGGCAGGGGCTCCGGGTGGGCGGGGGGGGGGGCAATGCTGCTGGCTGAGATGGAGGAGAAGAAGAGACCGGCTGAGGACTCACGTCCATCAGATATACTCCTCCTCCTCTGTCCACCTCACTGTGCCCCCTGCTCACCTCAGGACCATGGGGGGGGGGGGACAACTCTAACCCAACCCCTAACCGTAACCCCTAACCCTAATCTCAGCACCATGGGGAGAAACCCTAACTCTTAACCCTAACTCTAACCCCTTACCCTAACTCTAACTCTAACCCCTAACCCTAACCTCAGCACCATGGGGAGAAACTCTAACCCCTAACCCTAACCCTAACCTCAGCACCAGGGGGAGAAACCCTAACCCTTAACCCAACCCCTAACCGTAACCCCTAACCCTAACCTCAGCACCATGGGGAGAAACCCTAACTCTTAACCCTAACTCTAACCCCTAACCCTAACTCTAACTCTAACCCCTAACCCTAACCTCAGAACCATGGGGAGAAACCCTAACCCCTAACCCCTAACCCCTAACCGTAACCCTAACCTCAGCACCAGGGGGAGAAACCCTAACCCCTAACCCTAACCTCAGGCCTAAGTCGCTCTGCTCTTCGACTCTGGAACTCTTTGCCATCTGACATCCCAAAATACAGACTCTCTCCCTTTTCAAAACAAAACTCAAATCCCACCTGTTTAAAATGTCTTACCCACCTCACCACCCCTAACTCTAACATTCCCCACATTTAGCAGTTTTATTCCCTCCATTTTTATTCATTTATGATGTTTTTATTTATGACTTTGTATGTTTCAATGTTGTTTTAATGACGATCGTCTTTGTAAAGTGTCCTTGAGTG